TCCTCCTCCTCGTCGTCGTCGTAGTAGTAGTAGTAGTAGTAGTAGGAGGAGGAGGAGGAGGAAGTGTTCCAGCACAGTTCCATGCAGAAACATGTGGGGCAAGACACAGGGGTGACGGGGTGTGTCTCGCTCCTTTCAAAGGCAGCTTTCGCTTCCTTGCAGCAGCTGATCCACACAAACCTGACGGCCCTGCGCTTGGGCAGAGTCTGGTGGGATGCTTCGGGTTTGGGACCTGCGGCAGGTGCGGGACTAGACATCAGGATCTGAACAGCCGTTTGGTTTGCCGTTCCCTGCAAGAACTGTTGCTTGTATGGCCTTTTTGCTTACTGCCCCGAAATGGGGTCATACTTGTCATGGGACGTGATGAGGTGAGCTTGTCGCTGTTGCGCCTGTGCAGCCTTTTCGAGTCCTCAAGCACTCTCCATCCTCTTTCTGCAGCCTTCCGCCATGCGCGAGCTCGTGCACGTTCAGGGCAGCTTGTGCTTTGAAAGTTTTCGTTTGCCGTGCCTTCTTGGGGCTTCAGCCGCGTGACGGTACAGGATCGAAACAAGGAACTGGAGCTCAGAATTAGGGTTGTTGGTTGCTTGAAGGTGAGACAATGAGACTTGTAACCATTCGGACTTTGCCGCCAAGGCCAGAGCGCTAAGACCACAGCTGGAAGACAAAAATCTCACTTAGGTGGCCAGCTTCATGTTACTGCTAAGAGCGGATGGATCACTTTCCCGCCGCGCATTGCAAAGCCGGGAGGGCCAAACTATAAGTTGATGCTTGCGAACTGGGCCTGGAAGTATTGCAGAAATCAAGTGCTTTCCATCCCCTGTGTGGGGTTCGGGATTCGATCTCGACGCCCTCCTTCGGGAGGCATAGCCTGATGATTGCGAACCGCCTACGGGGCTTAGGTTGCTGGCAGACAAACATCTCTTAGGTGGCCAATGTGGAAACCAGATCGGAGCGAAGTTTTGGGAGGTCATCGCCGATGAGCATCTAGGTGGCACTTTAGGAAACCTTCATTTGTTCCTTTGTGGTCCTATATGGAGGTACTTGTTCATGAGTACTATTGGTCCCGAAAAACGCAACCACAACCAGATTCCTTAACACCCTAAACCCAAAACACTTTGCAATCGGAAAAAGACTCAACACAATAAGCCAAACGGGATTTTTGTTGTAGGAGTACGGGTTCCCCTTGAAACTGTCACTGTAGTGAGATATTGTTTGGGAAGAGCGCCCTTTTATTGCGATCTGCTCATATGAACGAAGTAGCCTGTCAGATAGCTCAGCGAACTCAAACCGCCCGGATTGTCCAAGCTGTGGGGGTCGAAACTCCTAAGCCCCCCAAACCCTACCCGACCCAAACTCCCAAACCCCAAGAGCCCCAAGCCTACCACCTTACGCCCCAAACCTTTAAACCCGTAAAACCCCCCAAACCCCAAACCCTACACCGCCCCAGATCCCCAACAAAAACCCAAACCCCCAAGCCCAAGCCTCCAAAAGACCCTAAACCCTAAACCCTCCTAAACCCTAAACCCCAAACAACCAAAAACCCCTAAACCCTGAGCCCTAAACCCTAAACCCCAATCCCTAAGCCCTAATCCCTAAACCCTAAACCCCAAGCCCAAACCACCCAACAAGAGCCGAGGCATGGCATTCACCCGACCGGCACCTACCACGGCGACTCCGACCTCCAGCTCGAGCGCCACGTGGCTTTAGGGTTTTTAGGGGTTGAAGGCAAAAGGGTTTAGGGATGTTTGGTGGGTTTATAGGTGTTTAGGATTTAGGGATGTTTAGGTTTTTTTGGGGGTTTGGGGTTGAGGGATGTTTAGGGTTTAGGGCTTGGGGTGTAGGGTTTAGGGCTTGAGGTTTGGGGTTCAGGGTTTAGGGTTTCGGCTTTGGGGTTTAGGGTTTCGCTGCAAACCAGATGCAAAAAAAGGGTTTGGGGATAAGCATGGATAAGCGTTAAGGGTCGGAATCACAACAGTGGTAGATCGACAGTTGGGAACCTCCGTTAAATTTTGATCGACGGCTTGACAATCTCCACTGAGCCCAGGCATCAACGTCTACTTCAACGAGGTCGCACACCTGTGTTTTCGTGCATGTTCAGATTTAGGTTTGGGGTATGTTCGGGTGTCGCGTGGCGCAGCTTGATTCTACGTGCCTCCTGCTTGAGGCGACAGGTGGCCGCTATGTGCCGCGTGCTGTGCTCATGGATTTGGAACCAGGCATGCCGACGGTGGGTTCTGATCTTCTTTGTCTGGATGTTGTCAACACTGAAATATCATTTCCTGAGCCTCCATAGTCTTGTTGGCTCTTGAAGATCACCCGACCTAAGTAGATCCAACCTCGCGCGAAACCTTTGACCCGCAGCACAAATCTAAATTCACCTGTACTTGTTGTTGAAACATGGTAAATGCGAGAGCACGAGTTCTCAGAGTTTTCTGTGTCGTACGAGCTGCAAAGCGTCAACCGTCGCAAGGTTCTGTTACAAGATGCACAAAAGCACGCGAACCGCATCAAAAGGTTCTTTCAGCATGACTGAAAGAGCAATCGAATCTCAGACTTTCCATGTGCTGTTCGCAGCCTTGCTTCAGCACAGAGCATCGGGATGAAGAAGAAGGTGCAAGGTCATGAACAAAGACCGGTGCAAGGGGCAGAAACAGAAATTTCACGCCGTTCAGGCTTCGGGAACCTCGGGGTTTGACGTGTGACATTTGTTGTCGAAGCCGCTGCCAGGCACCATGGACAGCGTTCGAGCCGGACCTTTTGGTCAGCTCTTCCGCCCGGACAACTTCGTGTTTGGCCAAACAGGAGCTGGAAATAATTGGGCCAAAGGACACTTTGCTGTTAAGGAGCAACCTATGTGACTTTTCTTGAAGGCTTCTACTTCAGGGAGAAGAATACTTCTGATTTTTCTTTCACTTTTCCCTTAACCCAACACCCTAATCCCGGAGCCCCAGGATCCAAGAACCCTGAAACCTAAGCCCTAAACCAATAGACCCAGGACACTACACCGAAGGTGCCGAGTTAATCGACTCGGTGCTTGATGTGGTGCGCAAGGAAGCGGAGGGATGCGACTGCCTGCAGGCCCAGCGCTAGGGTTGAACCTAGTCATTTGGCGTTTTGCTTGAAAAACACTTGTGCATAAGCAATGTCAAATTTTTCCGATCCGCTCTTCTGCCGATGTTTCGTGACCTCGAATGGCTTGAAGAGAAGGCTTGTCCAGAAAAGGGCTCGCCGCCCGTTTTCAGAACACCCGATTCAATGGCCAGAAAGGGTAGCTCCAGCAGCCTCCCGGACCCCAAAACCCTAAACCCTAAACCCTAAACCTCTAAACCCCTAAACCCTAAACCCCTAAACCCAACTGTATACACCAGCGTGGCCTGCAGGGTTTTCAGCTCTGCCACTCCCTCGGTGGCGGCACCGGCGCGGGCATGGGCACGTTGCTGATCTCAAAGGTGCGAGAGGAGTGCCCGGGATGCAGAGAGGACGGTCAAAAAGCCATCATCACGGGGCTTCCTCCCGGATCTAAGGTACCCTGACCGAATCATGGAAACATTCTCTGTGATTCCATCCCCAAAAGTATCGGATACCGTGGTGGAACCCTACAATGCCTGCCCAGGGTCCCCCTCTACGCGGTGGGCAGGAGGAACG